TCCTGAGAATAAAGGTAGGATATAACACGGATGGCATTTCCCCTGATGAGCATGTGAGAGGAACTGTCCGTTTTTAGCCCAGTCAGCTGGGCGGGGTCGCGCATCGTACAGAAACAGCATTTAACAACAATCCCCTTTGCTGGAATTTGGAAAGCAGCCAGAGGCGCGGATGGGCTTCCACACTCCCCGCCTCTGGCCCCCAGCCCTTCGGAGGCAGGAGGCAGGACTCGCAACTAAGTAGAAGAGTGGCTTTTTAGGACAACTGAACAGAGACTGCCAACCCTCCCGATCAGTGCAGACGGGAAAACATGGCAGCCTGTGGCTGGCGCAGCCGTAGGTAGGACGGAGGAGGGCTGCAGGCAAGATCAGGAGAGGAAAAGTTGACCAAACTGGGGAAAATGCAAAGATCATGTTGAGGGCAAGGGAGTGGGTAAGGATATGGTAGGGATCCAAGTGGGTGAGTGCGTAGCTACTCCCTGTGGCTTCCGAGAACAGCAGCAAGGAGGAGACAGAGAACGCCCAGCAGGCGAGCTGGGGGAATGATGCTGCCGAGGCCTTTCATTTGAAACTCAGAGATGAGCTCCCATACCAAGGCTGACTCCTGGGGCCTTTGCCTTGAGATTCGTTTGGTGTGGTTTGCATTACAACCATCTATTTGCATCTCAACTGTCACACGGTACAAATGGGTGGTTGCTGGTTTCAGCCCACCCTGTCCCTTTCTCCTCTGGCTTCTGTAAGTTTTCTGTAGCCCGGCAAAGGGGAAGAGATTACTCAGCGAGACTTGACAATAGGGATGCCGTCTTTGGGACGGAGAAAGGGCCTCTTTCAAGCACCTTTGCTGTCTTGAAGGGTCTGGCAGACCCTGAGGTTCAGTGAGAGGCTGAGTAGAATCTTGGATGTGGAAGGGATGGCAGGCATTATCTAGGCTTTGTGAATTAGATTAGCATCCTTGTTAGGAAAGACTGCCACAAAGGGCTGACTGAGAGGTTAAACTGCTTCCTCCTTCCCTTCCTGTTTTCCATCAGCACCCTCTACTGCCCCACAGCGGACCTTTGAGGTCACCTTCCTACACAAACTCAGCAGGATTTAGGCTTCAGCATAAGGGTACTGACTGATGATCCAGTTTGGCTAAAGCCCTGGGCCACCTCATTGCTTCTTTTATCATTTAGTCATGTTTTTAACTCAACCAAAATGAACTTCTGCGTGCCCCCCAAGTGCCAGGCAGAGTATGAGGCACTGGGTTACACGGGTGAGCAGAAGCTGACCTGCTCCTACCTGTGGGTCATTCGGCCTAATGGGAAGACAGATACTCTTGAGACCACCACACTAATAACCGCAAAATCACACTCAGGATGAGTGCAAGGGAGAATCACATGTTCTAGAGAATCTACAGCAAAGGGATCTGACCTCTCCTCACGCGCTCTTCCCCCCTCCAAATCTGCTCCATAAACATTTTCCTGCCACGCCTAGCAAATCGAGTCACTTTCAACCCAGACACAAATCCCAGCAGATGGAGTCTCCCCTCAGAAAGAGAAGTCGGAAAAATGACAATTAAAACAAATCTTTTCCAACAGCTCTTGATTCCCCTTTGAGGTTCTCTGATTCTTCCCAGACATTGGACACTTGGGCAGCGCTGCAAGTGCCTGTGGCTGCTGTCTTTTGTTCCTGTCGGTGATGTGGCTGAACACTCCACCTTGGGAACCTGGGGCCTGGCCATTAGCACCCAAGACTAGGCTTTGGGAGCATTTCCCTGGCCAGATCTGAAGCCCTCCAGAGTTTTGGAGAGTGGAGAAGAGATGGGAGATGCAAAAGAACAGGGCAACTGAGAAAGCAATTTCTCTCTCTCTCTCTTATTTAGGAACCAGCCCAGGACCACATCTGGGGTGGTATGGGTGCTGCCCTATGAGACAGGAAGATGGTCCAGGTGACCTTAGGGTGGGATAGTCTGGGCTGCCTCTCCTCCTCTCTCTGCACCTCACTGTGCCCTGGAGAAGTGGGACCCTGTGGGAAGGAGGCCAGTCCTCTACCGTCAGAGACACTGGCCAAATCCCAGGGGAAAGCAACAGAGTGGTCCCTGGTGGTGTTGGGCATCCTGTTCACAGTGGGCGTGCTGATGGCTGTGTCTGAGGGGGGAGGGGTCACTAGGGCGGGCTGGATCCAGACGCCCCTCAGCATTCCTGCAGATGCTTCAGACACGCTTCCCGCAAAAGGGAGCCTGAGGTAAAACCCAAGAGGTCCGAGCAACCTTGAGATCCCTCAACAAGTGGCAGGGCCCTGGGAGCTCTGGCCCTGCCGGTGGTGATGTCCCTGGACCATCTGGTTAGCATCTGTGTGTGGCAGGCACCGTGCTAAGTCCTATACGCGTATCATCGGATCTCCTCCTCTCCACACACCTTGTCGATACCCTTTGTGGCACAGACAACTATTTAACTGCTTCCCCACATTCCCCAGCCTTCAGGCAGTGAGGTGGGGGCACCTAACTAGTTCTGGCTGATGGGCCCTGAGTAGAAGTCACACTTCTGGGATGAAGCGTAGAAGAGCTGGTGCTTAAGCCTTTAGCTGCCCCCTGCTTCCTGCAGCACCACGATCCTGCAGAGTGTGCACCTACGTGACCACACAGAGGAGGGTCTCCCTGCCCACCCTTGCCGGACAAGTAGTCCCAGTGAGAGATAAACTGCTCTTTCAGGGTTAACTTGCTCCTGCGATAGAAACTGACTTATACATTGTCTTTTTATTTCTGTTTTACACAGATGAGCAAAGTGAGGCTTAGAAAGGGCCGGTGACTCACCCAAGGTCACAGAGCTAATAAATGGCAAGGCTGGCCTTGAACACAGGCCTCGGCTGATTCCTTGGCTCGGCATTCAAGGCCCCCCCGAGGCCTATGTCCCAGCCCACCTTGCCAGCAGCCCACTGCACAATCCCTGATCAGTTGCACGGGTTACTGCCTGTTCCCTCCATGTACTTACAGGTTTCTCCCTCCGGTCCTCCCTGTGGGCCACAGCCTGGCCCCCACCACCCCTCCTGAGGACCCTTTCACCATCTGATTTATACCCCAAGGCTCAGCCTTAGTCCCCCTCTCACCATAGAGTCTTTCCTGGTCCTCCCAGCCCCTACTTCCCCCTTCCTCAGCTGAGCTCTGGAGCCTCACTGCCTATAGTCACCGGACCCTGGACCCACGCTGCTTCTAGTGTCTCTCTTCCCTTGGGCATTATTATCAGCCTGAAACCTAGAATGGGATTTTCTTCTGAGGTTCTCATTCACACAGCGGTCTCCAAAGGGGGACCTGCACTCCCAGGGGATACAAGATGATCCACTGGGGTGTGAGAAAATGTTAGAATCTGTTTTTATATTTGTTTGTCTCCACCTTTTAAACTTTCTACATTATTGTATATGTTTTAAAATTACATATTACATTTGCATAAACACGTTTGGCCCCGTGGGGCAGGGACCATGGATTCCACTTCCTGGACTCCCTGAAGTGGCCAGATATAGCTGCTTGTAAACAGCAGATGCGGACTTCCCTGGTGGCACAGTGGTTAAGAATCCACCTGCCAATGCAGGGGACACGGGTTCGATCCCTGGTCCGGGAAGATCCCACATACTGTGGAGCAACTAAACCCGTGCGCCACAACTACTGAAGCCCACGCGCCTAAACCCCGTGAGCCACAACTGAGCCCACGTGCCACAACTACTGAAGCCCGCACGCCTAGAGCCCGTGCTCCACAACAAGAGAAGCCACCGCAATGAGAAGCCCACGCACCACAACAAAGAGTAGCCCCCGCTCGCCACAACTAGAGAAAGACCTCACGCAGCAACAAAGACCCAACGCAGCCAAAAAAATAAATAAATAAAAAATAAATTAAAAAAAACCAGTAGATGCTCAGTACATACTTCAATTATCTCAGACAGGTAGGTATGGAAAGACTTAGCAGGAGATGGAGGCATGTGTGCACGCACATATGTGTACACACATGAACAGAAATGTGACTGTGCACGTACACATACACACACACACACACACACACACACACACAGGCCAACTTGCCCTTGTGAACCTGAGTCCTTGGGGGGACTGTGTCCAGTTGAGAGAAGCTGACAGGAGACAGGAGAGGGGCCAGGAAGTGAAGAGGAACCGGGCCTGGAGCAAGGCCAGTACAGCCACGTGTGAGGAGTAATTGCAGAGAACACCCCGGGCGGGAAAACCTAATGGAATTCCTGAGCAGAGTGGGCCAGGGAAGCAGCGGTAATAAATAGAAATCCTATTAAGGTTGTGACTGCTGACGGGCAAGGGAGGTAGGGCGAGGGGAGGGGCGGGTTGGAGGCAGGCTGAGAGGGTCCTGAAGGGATGGAAGCTGCCCCATCCAGGCCCGGTCCTTGGCCTAGTGACACAGGGCATAGCTAGGCTCACGGGAGCTGCAGCCCTGCCGGAGCCTCCTCTGTCCCTCTTGAGCTCTCTCCCACTCGTGGCCCATGTCCATCCCTCTTAAGATTGGCTGGCCCTTGGGCAAGGGGATGCAGGTGTCCTGGACCCTCTGGAGTCTCTTTATGGCCTGGGATCCTCTGGAAGGCACTTACACTCCTTGCAAGGAAAAGGCAGGGTCAGTATTACCCCAAAAGCAGCAGTAAGACTTTTCCAAAGTCACCATTGATACAAGAGCCTCTACCTTTTAAATTTTCTATTTTTTGTGTGTATGTTTTAAAATGTACATACTAGGTTAGTATGATGATCATGTATATACATTTCTAAATATAGAACTATACATTGGAGGTGTGTGCGCAAACATTTTTTACAGGGTGTAGGGAGGTTGGTCCAAAAGTTTAGAGACTACTAATTTTTGCAGCCTTATTTATCCTCAGAACGTAGCAGGGGAGGCTGCAGCAATGTTTGTTTCTATGTTATAGATGGGGACCTGGGAGCCCAGTGACCCCTGGCATCCCTTCCAGGGTTGCACAGCCCGGGCCGGGTGCTGGGCTGGACGGCCACGCGTTCTGGGACTCACCTCGTCCTTGTCCACCACCTGGATAAAGAGGGGGAGGGCAAAGCCGACCTGTGCCAGCTCAGTGATGGCCACGCTGTACTCGGAGCTGTTGAACTCTGGGGCATTGTCATTGATGTCAATCACCAGGATGTTGAAGGTTGTGGTCACTGTGGCATCAGATGGGGTGCGGTCATCATTCAGCTCTGTGCCCTGCAGAGAGAGGAATAAACACCCCAGGGATGAAGGTGGCCATAGTCACAATAAATGTCATCATTTACCAGGGCTTTCTCAATGCTGGGCACTGCGCTTTATGTGAATTATCCCATCTGATCCTCACCATAATCCCAGGTGGAAGATTCTATCATTAGCATCCCCGTTTTACTGACCTCCATTACCAATGGGGAAACTGAAGCTCAGAGAGGTTAAGTAACTTGTACAAGGACACACAGACAAAGTACCAAACGCAGGCAGTGGGATTCTAGAACCAAGGGGATGAGGTGGGGGGGGGAAGACGAGATAGATTTAGGGGTTCATCTAGGGGCAAAGGGAGAGTCTTCATTCATTTGGCAAATGATGAAACTGAGGCCAAGAACGTTTGTGCTAGCAGATACTCAAGAATTAATTCAGCATCTGCTACGGACTGAACACTGTGCTGGGCACCGTGAAGGTCTGGGTTGGACTCAGAAATAGATGGACTCAGACACCTGGGCACCCAGTCTCTGGGCCAGAGTCCTTGGGCCGCAAAATACCCATTCCCAGTCCCACCCCAACCTTTCGAACCAGGATCTCTGGGCAAGAGGCCCAGGACTAGGTGTCTTTTACCAGTTCCCCAGGGGATTTGCATTCACAGCCAAGTGTGGGACTCATCCTTATATTTTATATAAAGATGGAAAAGCTGAACTCAGGGTTGCACAGTGAGTTGGTGCTGGGACTAGGGAGCAGGTCTCTCCATTGGAGCTGCCTGCCTCCGTAGGAAGGGAGCAGAGACAGAAGGGGAGGCTGGGAGGGGGCCTCGGGCTTGGCTCCGGATGGGGGAAAGGCCGTGTTAGCTTGCCCTCCCCCGCTGGCCCACATGTGCACATCTGGGTAGAGAGGACAGAGCCAGTGGGCGAGTCAGGACTAATCAATCCATCGCTGTCACAGGCCTTCTCAAGGTCAAGGAGAGCAACGAAGGGCCAGGCTGCACCATCCTTCCCATACCAATGGAAGGGCCTCCTTCCCAGAGGCCCTCTCCTCAGTCTTTGTACCACCCCCTCCTCTCAATCGAAGGCTGGGGCTGGGGAGGACCCCTGTGGCCCAGGCAGCATCTGTACCCTAAACGGGTTTCCCAGGGAATGCCTCAGCAAGTTATTGATTTTAATTAAAACCAATCATGAGTGGCAAGGGGCTGCAGGGGGCAGGGGGCCATGGCTCCATCACACTTTCCGGGGTGGGGACCACCACAGCTCTGCCCCCTGCCCGCTGCATTGCTGCTTCTTAACCAGGTAATAGCCCCAGGGAAGCCACAAGAATTAGAAATGGGAGAAAAACCCCAGAAATGAGGTAAACCTAAGAATCTGAGTTGGCTATATTAGCACTTGAAATCATGGGATAACAGAGAGGACCACTTGTGCCTCCTCACCCCTGAAATGGGGATGAAAGTTGCAACCCTCTGCAGTTGTTGATAAGGGCTGAGAAATGCCCAGCAGAGGGCCCCTGACAAGGCCCACATGTGAAAAGCGTTGGCCCTTCCTGACGGGGGCCCTGGGCACAAGCCCCGGGAATCAGTGCAGGGTAAGGGAACAGAAGTGACCCGCCTCCTGGACCCTCCGCCTGGGCACCGCTGGAGGCTGGCCCCACAGCGTGGGCATCCCCTCTACCCATGATGGAGGTGCCCAGCGCCCACTCTCACCTTCACAGTCAGGATGAAGCCATGGCTGTACAGGGGGTTCTCCCGGTCCAGCACGCCGTTCAAGGTCAGCGCCCCGCTGATGTAATCCAGGGCAAAGATGCTGTTGGTATTTCCTGCAAGAGGGAGAATTCAGGGTGTGACTGGGGCCCCGGGCAGGTGGACAGGGGGCTGGGGCCAGGGCTCCTCTCTGGACATTAAGGACTAATCAGTAACTTAAAATGAGTGCTGGTTCCAGGAGTAGTGCAGAGAACTCTGGGGTACAAAGGAGCACATAGCCCAGGCAGCAGAGGGCCCCGAATCACAGGATGAGAACATTATGTCCATGCAGTCGTCCTCAAGGCTCTCTGACTGAGGCAAGGAGAGAGTCTCGGTTTGGTGCTTATATGTCTTTAACAGCCTGTCTAACACTTGCTTCTTTTCCTTCTTAACAGAGAGAGAGCAGGCTTCGGGCTCAGAGCCTTTCAAAGGGAGCAGTGCCCAGTGAGGACTCAGTGACTGCTATGTCTGAATATTTGTGCCGCCCCAGAATTCATATGGTGAAACCCTAACCTCCAAAGGTGATGGCATTAGCAGGTGGGGCTGTTGGGCTTAGGTCATGAGGGTGAACCCGTCCTGAAGGGGATTCTTCTCTTATAAAAGAGACCCCGCAGAGCTCCCTTGCCCCTTCCACCATATGAGGATTCAGCAAAAAGGCACCACCTGAACCAGGAGGAGGGCCGTCACCCGACCGTGCTGACACCCTGATCTCGGACTTCCAGCCTCCAGAACTGCGAGAAATAGATTTCTACCGTGTATAACCCACCTGGTCTGTGGTATTTTGTTATGGCAGCCGCAGTGGACTACGGCAGTAGCCTTGTTTTGTTCCCCTTGTGCTTATTTTTACGGTCATTTCCTATTCTATTCTGTTCTTTCTAGTCTATTCTACTTTACTCTACTTTTCTATATGACGGTGATATAAAGTTTCCTTTTATGATAAATATAAGTTAAAAACAAAATTCAATTTTAAAAGTATTTAAGTATTTATTAAAATTTAAAATATGTATTTAAAGTACTGGCAAAAATCACACACACACGGCACTGGCTCAAATGCACCCCACCCCTCTCTCACCCATCAGCTTTGTCTTATGCTGCCCCACAGGTACCTGGCCCTCACAGTGGCTTCTGCAGGTTCCCCAGATCCATTCCTGCCTCCTGTCTTCTTCCCACCCAGGGCCAGCCCCTCCTCCTCCTGCTCCGGGAGGATGGTCCTAAGCTCTCTCACTTACCCCTCCGGCCCTACAGGCAGTAGTTCCTGCTCTGTTTGCTCCCCAGTTGCTTCCTCTGTGTTAATGTGCTCATTTCACCCAGCCTAAAAGATGGGGGGCTTTCACGACCGTTCCTCAAGGTACCTGGACAATGCTGGGGACACAGTGGCAAGCATGTTCCTGAAGGATGGCTGGTTCCGGCCCACCTGGGCCCCCATACTTGCCCTTGTGCCCTTCTCATCAGGATGTGAGTTCACTGGGAAACCCTCAATTCCACTCCCCTCTCCTCCGCATTAACCAGTGTGTTGGTCCCTTCAAACACTCGCTCGCTCACTGCCATTCATTCACATACTCAGCAGTCCCCTGGACGGGTTGTCCTATGGCCAGGCCCTGTGCTTGGCACTGTGGGGGACGTAGAGGTCACCCTGCCAGGATTTCTGACGCTGAAGCACTTACAGCCTCGTAAGGGAGCTCTGACACCCACAAGAATCAGCATCTCAGCGCACAGCAGGGAGAGGCTGTTCACACACAGGAAGGCTCAAAGAAGTAAAGCTTCATGGAGGAGGTGACATTAATTCCTTACACCACTGTCTAGCTGTGTGACCTTGGGCAACTTATCTAACCACTTTGCATCCTGGTCTCTTCATTTGTGAAATGAGGATAATAATGGATCTATCTCATAGGGTTATGAGAATTAAATGAATGAGAAAAAATATATACACATGTACAGGCTTCGAACAGTTCCCGGCACAAAATAAGTACTTGATAAATGTTGTTTGAGCTGGACCCTGGAAGACAGGCGGGATTGGGGAAGCGGGTGGATGGACACGGATTCCATAGGTGGGAACTAACATCCAAGCCTCCAACACACAAGGTGGACACCAGGATCGCCCATGGAAGCTGCTGTATCTCCCTGCTCCGCCCCTTCCCCGGCTCTAAAGGGATCCGCACACAGGCTCATGTCCTCTCTTGGATTAACTAGGGCAAAAGTAGAGGGGAGACAACGTCCTTCTCTAACTTTAGACTCTGAGGCAGGGGCCGTTCTCAGCCCCTCTGTGCTGGCCGGCAAGGTGGCCCACTCCCAGCCCACTGCAGAGCTTCTCTGACGCAGGGGAGACATGGCCGCTGACAGCAGAGCCCGGCCGGGTCTCACGTCACTCTCAGAGTGTGGGCTTTGGAGACTCTGACCTGGGCCAGGCCAGGGAGCGGACGTCACTCCAGCCTCCACTTTGCCTAAGCCTGTGTCCTGCGGCCTGGGTACCCTCCTGCGGGCTTTTGTACAGCTGCCCTTGTGAGTGGGGAGGAAAGAGTCGCAAGGAGGCATATACATGCATGAATATATAGGAGTTTTTTTAGCTAGGAATTCTGCTGCTGGGGAAACAAGAGGACATGTGCTTTCATCCGCTCATCATTAGCTAATCCACGCAGCAAACAATTATTGAGCTCCTACAGTGTACCTGGGACACCTTCTGGTGCAGGATGTCGCCCTCAACCAGGTATTCCCGTGACAGGGTGATCAGTGCTGAGATGGCTGAAGCATGGACAGCGCAGGGTGCTTTAGGGGCTGGGTCCTCGGGGCCCCTAAATGCTGAGCTGCAGGGCTGCCCTGAGGCAAGACCTCCAGCCGCTTGCCTCTCACACCCTCTTCCCCACCACACACACAGGCATGGGCCCCGCCTCCTCAGCGCCCCTGTCCGGCATCCCATCATTCCAGAGTTTTGTATAAATTTATTCTTCCCAATAAAGGAAGCTATCAATGTTTACATGTGATTCAACTTTTATCTTTGCCAGTTTTTTCCTATAAATCATTCGCAAGCCAGAAGCCTCTTGTCGAACGATGTGCTGTGGTTTTCAGTTGGGAAAATAAGGTTATCACCCCTGGCAAACTCAGTTGGGCCCCGTACTCAGCACCTTTGTCCTATTCACGGCCACACTGCCCATCCCCAACTCCGAGTCTGTCCCCAGCACATAAAATACCCCTCTCCCAGCCTCGGCACCTTCTCCAACCAACCTGTAGGCAAATACCCCTCAACTGGTACAAATTCAAACTCAAGGACCCTCCCCCCAACACACACACACACGCACACGCGTGCGCACACACACACACACAAACACATTCTTTTTCACACATCTGTGTGGAGAGTTCACCTCTCAGCCTCCTGCAAAGTACGAGTGACTAACTGCCAAGACCAACAGTCAGAAAGGGTTACACCCAGGGAGCTGACAAGGCCATCTAAGTGAGTCACTGCCTCTGATATTCCTGCTGTCACCATGGCAACACGAGCACTCACCGGGATGCTGGCTTGGGCAGGGACAGGAGGTGAGCCCTGTGCCCCAAGCAGGGCAGGTCTCATTCAAAGACCGATTGACTGATCAGATCACTCATTCATTCCAGTTCATATCAAGCACCTACTTTGTGCAAAATGCTAGAGAATCAGCAGAGAAAAGCAGGCAAGTTTCACGTCTTCAGCCTCACACGGAAGATCTTCATTCAGAATAAAATCACACTATTGAGTGTATAAGAACTTGCTAAGCTAAGGCCCCTGAAGGAAAGCAACGTGGAACAGAGAAGCAGTTATGCCCTGAGTTCCAATCATGACTCGGCTACTAGCTAGCTGGGTCAGCTTGGTCAAGTTGCATTATCTGGGCCTCAGTTTCCTCGTCAATAAAATGGGAGTAATAATAGTACCCACCCCAGAGTGTTGCTGTGAGGATTAAATGAGTTAATACAGTGTCTGGCACATAGGAACCTCTCAATAAATGTTGGCCGCCTGTCCTGCACCAAGACAGCACCATGGACCATCTCCTCCACCCTCCCCCACCCCAGGAGCCTGTGCCTAGAGCTTTCACCCAGCGGGAGCACTAAGCCAACCCATCCTCTTGCCAGGAGAGCCTCACAACCAAGGGCCCAGATGTACAAGGTGGCAGCCCTGAGGCCAAGGCTGAGAACAAAACCCTCAGGTCCACAGGGCATCGCACCCAGGGTTCCGGCCTCGGGGTGGGTCACCACTTCCTTGCTTCCCTCCTTTATCACCCCTCTCCCACCATCCGCCCTCCCCCGGGGGGCCGTGGGCGTGGAAACCATACACATAAGTTTCTCCGCTATCCTGGAAACTGATACCACCCTGTCAGCCCTCTGGTCTCCCAGACACTCTTTATCCAAGTCCCATGGGGACCAGGGGACTGGGGGTGCCTCACTGGGGGATGCCTTTCACCTGTTCAGCCCCCACTGCTGAGCAGAAGGGCAGCTGCTTTCCCTGGGTCGACAGGTGCTGTCCTAGGGGATGTACCTGGCAGGGGAGGGGTCCTTGCAGGGAGTGAGGCTGCACCTTGAGCACCCTAAGACTTCTGGGAACTGGTGACTTAAAGCGTTCACACAAGGGAAGAAGCAGGTCATTCCTAGCTCTGCTGGTTCTCTTATGGGACAGCCACATCCGCCAGAAGCTTCAGGCATCGAGACCTCTTCATATTTGCAAGAGGGAGGTTGAGAAGATGTGAATGAAGTCGGCAATAGCACAAAAGGCTGCTGAAGGGAAGTCACAGCCCTCTTCCCGTTTATTAAAAAAATAGTAGCTACAGTTTGTTGAACACTTTTCCCTGTGCAAGGCACTGAGCTAAGATGTTTGCACAATTATATTACTCAGTCTTCACAATAACTTTAGAAGAAGACACCCTGTGTTACATGTGAGGAAGCAGGCTCAGAGAAGTTAAATAACTTGTCCAAGGTCACACAGCTGGTGAGTGGCTGGCCTGGAGTGAGATTTACACCTCTCTTTTTCTCCCTGCAGGTGTTTGCCCTACACACAGGTTTGCACCCACTCTGTACCTGGCCCGGTGCTAAGGGACAAGGAATAGGGTGAGACAAATAA